CTCTACAATGTCGCTTTTATGGTCATTGTAGACAGCTCTAGTCCGGGAGTTAGAAAGTGATAGCCCTATTGCAGATCCAGCAATCCATGTCTGGAGAGTCACGCCCATTCCGAGATTACTTTCACTTACAATAAGCCCCGCATGTATGCATTACCTCTATCAATTGGATATTAGTAAAGCACACACACTTCCAGTTTCAAAATGTTCTTTTGAATACTGGTACGTATTTATTTTATGTTTTTTAAATTGTAAAAAGTATTTGGACTGGTCTGGTAGCTTTGATTTTCTCTAAGCTTTGTATCTCATTTCGTAATGCACCTTTGTCGTAATACTTTCTTCAACGAACACAAATTTTCTAGCATTGTCATGGTCATCTGGGAAGAGGTTTGCGTCTAGTGCTTTCCCCAGGAACAGTTCGCGGCCACCAACTACCACCCCTCCAGTCTTGAGCGAATCCAGCGAGGCATCTTTCAGATTGCTCGCAATCTCCGACACCGGTGAGAGACCAGCAGCTGAGCACTTTTGCAAGCGGAAAACTTGCTGATTAACGGCAACGTCGGCCACCGAATCACCACCAAAACTCGCGACGGACACATTATCAGCACATTCCCGGGCTAATTCACCACCCGGACCGGTTTCAAACTCGCCCACGGTGACGAATTTCTCAATATAACTACACGCCGAAAGTGTGGCATCCGAACTCGAAGAACCGGGCTCCCGGGAGGCATTGAAAACCGACACCTAACAATGAAGTCGAAGATTTTGGGGGTTAGATTCAAAGTCAACCGAGTCTTTCAGGCAAAACACGATATATCACTAAATGATAACTTTATGAACACTTGAAACTAAATTTCAGCACACAAATTAAAAAATTTAAAGCAACAAATGTTTAATTCGCTGACGAAAAATACGCAACAAAATAAAAATAATTAAAATCATACTAAAAAAGTCAAATTATCAATTTTGGCGTGAAGTTGATCATGTAGGTTTTTATGCAATGCAATAATCAGAAGCTGAAGAATAATTTAGTGTTAAAAATTCAACAAAACTTAACGAAGAAACTGACAGTGTTCACTCGGCTGTCGACAGAAGCAGGCCACTGTCGATGTGTGTCACGCGATCGTCTGTTTACGCGGGAGCAACCATTGTGTGGTTCTCCTCATTGTTCTTCATCAGCAGTTCTTTCGATCGATGCGTCGTCGACTTTCGAGAGCAACCGTTTCGTGATGAGTTTGTTAGTGCTGACCACGTGTTGCGTCCTTTGCTGCAATGGAAGCGCTCTGCCCCCCGTTGATGATACTGCCAAACAATGCAACCACTGAAAGCGGATCCCTTTCTGATGGAGAAGGCGGTTGACTATAGTTTAAGATGTATTGTATAGTGAACAGGAATCCTCGGCTCTATAAAGTTAAATCGATTGAGCCTTATCAAATAAATCAATAAACAACAAAACGAGAAAACTGAATATTTTGTGGCAAAATAGTTCAAAATACGCCTAAACGTAGGCAATTTAATTCAGTTTTTGATGTTAAGGAACTGTTAAAAGTTATTTCACTTCCTCAAAAGTATACATTTAGAGTTGTAAAATGCACCGTTTGTTGGGAGAAATGTAGATGCAATTAAAATATCATAAAACATTGACTGGATCTTTTATATTTTGTTTTGTGAAGAAAACTGAAGCCATCATTTACCCTATAAAAATGTAAATCCAATTAGTCGGCAACAAGGTCCAATAAAAATATAAGATATGAAGCGGTCTTCTTGCATCATTTTTTTTCAATTAAACAAGAAGGCTGAACAAGGGTTGGAAAAGACTTTTATTTAACCCCTTAAAAAGCTCATAATTTATATTATTGTTAAGCTTTCGGCTGATCAAAATCTCCAGATTTGAATGTTTAAAAGCTGAACAAAGGTTAACGTGGTATATGTACAACAATTATTCAAACTAAGGCTGAATTAAAATCGTTGAAACTGTTGAGTATCAAAGTGTTACCTGTGCATCATTGCACCTAAAAAGAAACTGGTAAGTCTGACAGTTTTCAACATCGGCCTAAGCAGTCGGAAATGTTAAACTCTAGCTATGATTTATTAAAAATATCGAATACATTTGATATTTTGAAAAATTAGGCGGGAATCAAAATGGCAGCACTCCAGCACAAACCTAGTTGATTGCCCTTGCGAACAATCATGTGACATTTTATGGAATTCTGAGAGGTAAAATCTGATGTTGATCCTGTTATGTCAATTTTTTCTTTAAATGAAATATACGCACTACGAGTTGCTACGAGAACAGCTAGGTAACCAACCCCCTGCAATCCGATCCAGTTCTTGAAACTGCCGAAAACATCAGCAGCGATGGTGATCCATAACATATTTAAGCTGCAACCATGTAACAATGTAACATTAAATGCGGCAAGGTGGCAACACATGTAATGCCTTCAAATCCATTCTTACTTTCCCGCAATGGACAATTAAAAAATGAATTGACGAGCACAATTTGCGTGAATCATGCTTTCCTATAACGTTATCTAGAAAATTCTATCTATTTTCCGCAACGCGGCGCGACATGTACCAAGCCTAATCATAGTGGAAAAGGAGGAGCTGTCAAATTAGCAGCACACGCTATTTCAAAACTACCCAAATTTGGGTAGAATCCACCCAGATCCGTCAAAACTAAACCTACCCAAAAATGTGTAAACTGTGTTGGGAGTGACAAGTTGACGAATGAACAACATTGACATCAATCCGATCGACGTTGTTCATTTGTCAACTTGTTACTCCCAACACAGTTTACCCATTTTTGGGTAGGTTTAGTTTTGACGGATCTGGGTGGATCCTACCCAAATTTGGGTAGTTTTGAAATAGCGTACAGAGCACCAGAGAAATTTGGCTTCACTCGAGTTGTTCGCAGATGACAGGCGTTGGAGTCCTGTGTAGTTAACACTAAAGCCCTACAGTAAAAGTATGGACACTTGCCAAAAGTTGTTCCAATCGAACCGTCAAAATGCACAGCTTTGCTCGATTGGAACAGCTTTTTTCAGTTTTGTGGTGACAGTCGTCCATACTTTTACTGTAGGGCTTTAGTTAACACCCAGCTCAAAGGGAATGGTTGACGAAGAAAAAAAGGCTGTCGACAATAGTCACACTCACCTGAGAAGTTTGGAGCGTTGTAAAAACGCTTTCAAACAGTTTTTAACAATTCTGTCGATTGGAATGGTTAGAGAAGCAAGCAGCAGATAAATGTAAACAAACAAACACGTCATATGTGTTCATAACGCTGAGAAAATACTAAAAGAAGTGCGGACGCCGCATAGATTACGAGAATACGTAAAATCCCCTTTTTTCGGAATTCAGCCTATTGACCATTCGGCCTAGTGATAAAGGCGTAAAGACCATTCGGCCTAACGACCCAGCATCACTAAAAACTTAAAATTTTGCACGATAAGCAGCAATACTCACTCACTTTTCTCGGCGCTTACTCAAGCGGTGTCAGTGCAACAGGACTCATTTTGTTTGTACCAGACTCTCATAGAGCCCTGTTAAAGTTTATCGGTATTGGACACTTGGTTCCGGAGAAAAGGACATAAACTCTGATTCATGAATCTACCGGTGATAAGTGCCTTTCTCGTGTAATATTAAATAGCTTCACTTCGTATTCTGGTCACTATCGCAGGGGCACCCAGAATACGACTGTGTTGAGTAAAGGGCATAGAACTTAATATAGTGTAGTTTAAAGTTGATATTGGGTAAAAACAACTCGAAAATAGGTTAACACATGTGACCAAATGACAACTACTTGTAGTCTTTTATCTAAAAATTAACATCTGCATGTAGCCAGCAGATGGTGGAAATTTTGCTTTGTCTAATGGTGGTGTAAGTTTACGTGGATAACTGTATCGATTTGACGTTTGAAGTAGTTGTTGTCAAAAGCAGTTACGGCTATTTCGACATTGAGCATGCATAAGGGCGTAAACGAGACTATCGATTCTCTTCGTTGATTTTCTATTTAAATTGCTACAGCTAAGGGAAGCAATTTTTTTTAAATTTGCCCAATACTGTGCTGTAACACGTTGTATTGGTCATCAAAAACATTAGCAAACGCACCGAGAAATAGTAATCGAAGAGAATCGATCATCGCGTTTACGCCCTTATGCATGCGCACAGTCGATTTGGTAATTTATCATTGAACTTAGAGAACAAGCATAAATTACGTATCGTAGTTTCTAACAGGCCATGTATTAGGCATAGAACGATACGCTACGACGTTTTCAGAACAGTTCTACCTATTAGTTAATTTTAGGACTTTTTCAAGCCCTTTTAGCGATTACAAGCTTCAAAGACTTTTCTACGTTTTGTGGCCATTGTTGCGATTTAAAACTATTTTTTCGAGCTTCTTTTCTAATAGGTTTTAATTCTACTCTTTCAGTATTTTAAGATATTGTTCGCACATTTAAGGTCGTTTTTGCCTGATTTGACGTGAAAAATTCACTAACATTTTAAATTTGAAGCAAACATTCACTTAAGTAGTGGTTCCTGAAACGCACACATAACCTTACATTGCCGCTCCATCATTATTATAGGTAGTGCAGTTCTCATTTATGTAATGCTTCCAATTCTACACCATCGTTTTAATTTTAAAAACCATATAGGTCATTGATTTTCGAACTTTACTGCAATTCCATCCATTCGCAATTGCAGTAAAGTTCGACATACCGTAAAACTTGCACCGTTTCTTCAACTATTCCAGCAAATTCCACACATTGCAGCAGTACGTAAACAACCAAAAGTACAACCCGTACATCAAACCCGATAATTATTATTAACGGACACTCACAGGCGGTCCCGGACCGGCCATATAGCACTGAACGAATAGCTGCCCATATAACTCAATTATTTCAATTCTTATCCAACGAGTCGGTTTTCCCACTCTCGATTTTCATACGAAAAATTCTTTCTCCATTCGGTCATTGATTCCTTTTCTTTGCATTCCATTTCCACAGATGGTACATTACGTGTCCGCTTCGGCACTCACCTCCCAGAGCAGCCTATCAGCGGCCAACCAACAGCCAATCACCTTTGGCCAACTGCTGCGCAACGCCGGCAACATGGGCGACATTCGGGACTGTCCGGTAAGTTCTTTTCCCCTCCAATGTATCGCAGAAAAAAAGGTATATGATTAGTTTGTATTAACAGTGTAGTAGACCTTCGATCGACTAATAGGCTCGTAATAGTAAAAAAAATGTGACTCTCATTCACTCTAAGCAAGCGGCATGGGTATAATTCTGGATTTAATATGTGCACCACAGCAGGTTTCATTTGCTGGTTGCAGGTTTCTAAGGAGTGTTTGCGGGTTTTTGTGTTGAAGCATAAAGCCACTCACAAATCTAGATCAAAGCATACGCTGCGCGCATGTAGATTGCGCAGTAGGCCGTTGCACGTTGACGGGTGCTAAACAATTTCGAAACCATGGCCAACTCTAAAACACTAAAACTGACAAGTCGACTGCTGCTAGGATACGATACGATGTTGATATTAGGCGCACGCACCTCATCGTCTTCGTCGGGGGGACATGAACTGTTAAATGCTACCGTAAGAAAAGTTTGTTTCTGTCTTCGATATCTGTTGGTGATAGCTCCGTGTAGAAATGTAAAACTCAGAGGAGTGAGGACTGCGTGCGAAGGTCAGAAACGCGTGTTTTCCCCGGATCCACCGCCGCTGCTGGCAATGAGTAATGATTGTCCTCGGATTACCCCCCTTAAGTACGCAGTGATTACCCACTCGTGTAAAAGGTGGTAAATGCGAGAACCGATCGCGGAGGATATTGAACATCAACCTTTAGTTTATGCCTTTTGAAGTACCCTTCCTACCCTTTTAAATGACGGCGGATGCGGCGTATGAGCGCATCTCTTTCATGTTCGCGCATTCGAGCGATCGAGATGCGGATGTTTTGTCTCGTTTTTATCCGTCAACGGAGAGGAAAGCGTGGTCCACTGTCGATCTCGAACTTTTCTGACGGTCAAATACGGTTAATTGCACGCCAATATGGTCATATTGTAGCTCTGTGTGTCATTGTGGCTCACTCTGTATAGAAGTGACTGATCGGTATTGTACATGTGCACGTTTGTGTAAAGAATGCTGGAGTGAAATCAGCCGTTGTCCGAAAAGCCAAGCAATTGATCAATTCTGATGAACCCCAATCTCCCTTAGCAAGGAAGGAGTGGAGACTCTGCATATCCGAGTTTATGGTCACTTTTCAAGATTTTTTTTCTCGAATCGAAGTGAGAGGCCTGCTGCGATGATGGCTGAAGGGGTAATTAATAAAAATGATTGTCTTTTTTCCTGTGCGCTTTTTTGCTTTCACACTTCGATGCCGTCGTTCTGCATACATATACGACGATTATTTTGACATAAAAGGAAGTTTTGCGCATTCCAAGTGCATAATATTTTGCCATGTACGAAAAGTTTCATCCTAGCAGCCCACGATTAATCATCCAAAACATGTCATAATTTACTCTTGAACGGGTCTTAGCTACCAACTTTTTGTCAGAGCTGTAGGTTTTTTCTTTCAACGAAATACCTATTTGTATAAATTTGCTCGCTCTGTCAAGGCCAACTAGACGGCAGCTTGGTATGCGCATACATACATCTACATGTCAGAGCGGTTGCTTTGTTTCAGGAACCGAATTGCTCGTAGCGCCACCACATGCTTTGCTTGTCCCCCTCTCTCTACATCTTTGCAACGGTATGTCAATGATAATTGTCATTAATGGTCATTCTGTGGGGTGCTTAATTCGTCAAATTTGTTTCAAATTTACTTCAAATTTCCGAAACCACATGCCAACTGCGCATGCTTGAGAAGGGTTAAATGATTCAATTACATCGACTTTTGCCACGATTTTCCATCATTCGTGATCGTGGTACGATTGGTTGGAAAAACAACAAAAACTTCCACCAAGCGGGATTGCCTGATGCGGTGTCGCTAGAAAACGAGTTTTCTTCAACATCTATGAATGAAAACCAACCCTAACCTAGTTTAGTCGATAGCGATTGCCTGGAACGGGTGACACGAGTTTATTTATTCACAGATACTGGTCGTACTAAACCGCATATCGCGACGACCAGTACAATGTGGGTGCGGTTGCACTTGCAATTACCTGCGACAGCAAACCGAAGTCGTTATGCCTTATTAGACACGGCACAGCGCGCGCTATGCTTATTAGAATTATCTTGTAACCGCATGGTGGACTCCGGTAGCTACCACCTAACGATCAACCGGTCCGTCAAAAGACTTTCACTGCTGAGACTTAATGATTAGAAACACCTTCCTAGAAACTTACTTTTTACTAAGAAATCCCTGCGCTCACGGTACAAATTTCTCTTCTCCCTCCTAACAGAATGCCTGCGGAGCCAAGATCGGAATACGTCGCGCCTTGCTTAATCGACCGGATGTCGTATCGATCGGCGTGGTTTGGGACTCGGAACGTCCAGCTGCCGATCAGGTGCACTCGGTGCTGAAATCCGTCGGAACCTCACTTCGTCTCTGTGACGTCTTCCACCAGGTGTCGGATCAACGATGGTCTCAAACCGTAAGCCACGAACTGGTCGGAGTGGTATCCTACTACGGTAAACACTATACGACGTTCTTCTTCCACACCAAACTCCGCGTGTGGGTGTACTTTGACGATGCCAACGTCAAAGAGGTCGGTCCCAACTGGGAAGGTGTGGTGGACAAATGCTCCCGAGGTCGCTACCAGCCTCTGCTTCTGCTCTACGCACTGCCACAACCTCAGGCACAGCCACAGCAGGTTACTGCACAGGAACTTGCCGCAATGCAGCAAGCTCAACACCGGAGAGCAGTAACTCCCAGTCCCGAGAAAGCTCCCATCGGATCACAGAACCGCAGAGCCATCACACCTACCCCGAACAGAGCAGTGTCCGTATGTGACTACCAGAACTTGAGCGTCATCCAGAGCAAAATCTTCCCCAACGAAGAGAAGGAAAACTACATCAGCCGCAAAGCGGTTCAAAATGTCCTCAACGCTCAGCAGTATCAAAATCTCTCGGTAATTCAGGACAAGATTTTCCAACAGCAGCAGGATTCCGAGAAGGATCAAGTCGGCTACATTTCCAAGAATGCTTTGAATGCTCAAATGCGTAAGCAGCCCATGAATCTCCATCGAAGCCTAAGCGCCGAATCCGGTCAGGTATCTCCTCCTTCATCTTCCACCTCATCCCCAGATGGTCTATCAATTCCGGACCATCTCAACCAACCACGCCGACGAGATTCAGGCAACTGGAGTGGCGATCGCAACTCTGCCTCGTCTTCCTCATCAACAACCCTCGACAACCCCTATCTCTATCTGGTCGGCAAACGTAACGGCAGCGTGCCAGCAAGTCCAACACGCCAGGGTCAGTTCTACGATGCCGGATACGACTCCTACTCTCTATCCTCGACCGATTCCTTCCCTCCAAAGCACCCCATTAACGGAAACAACATGCATCTCGCAAAGATTCCCGAGTCCGTTGTTCTCAGCGGTGATTGCGAGAAGCTGTGCATGGAAGCGGATCAACTGTTGGAAAAGTCTCGCATTCTAGAGGACGCACATGACTTGGAAACGGCTTTGGTATTATGTAATGCCGCTGCCAGCAAGGCTCGTGCCGCCATGGACGCACCCTACAGTAATCCACACACAATGACATTCGCACGAATGAAGCACAACACGTGCGTCATGCGAGCCCGATCGCTACATCGGAGGATTCTCATCGAAAAGGGTGGCGAGATCATCAAGGAACAACATCAGCAACAACAACAGTTGGCTTACAACCTGGCTGGAATCGGCACCGGTGGAATCGCTCACCGAAGGCAGAACAGCAAGGAGAAGCTGCTTAGTAACGGACGACAGAACAGCAAAGAGATGCTGCAGGAAACAAATGGATCCACGTTGACGCGAAGCTCACCGTCGAAGAGTATCGAGATCTATGCGACGCTTCCGAAGAAGAAGGTGACTCTTAAGCTGATTGAAGCGGAGAACATTGAAGACGTCGTGCAAGGAACGGTGGACGTCAAACCAGAACGGGAGAGCCGCTCGTTGTTCGGGCGAAGTAAGGATTCCAAGGAGAAGCGGAGTCGAAGTGAAGATCGCAACAAAATTAACAGGGACTTTCAATTGGCCGACGCGTCGTTGGTCAACGCAAAAGATACTCTCAAGAAGCACAAGGAAGAGAAAGAGACCGATAAGAAGGATAAAGATGCCAAGGCTGGCAAGAAACAACACAAGATTCGACGAAAGTTGCTGATGGGTGGATTGATCAGGAGGAAGAACCGTTCGATGCCTGATTTGACGGAAGGAGCTGGAGCGACTAATGATCCGACTAACGGTGTTATTCCACCGATCAAGCAAATGGTGTCGATCGACGACAGCACTGTTGGATTGAGTCTGGCGAAGGATTCGGCCAACAGCGGGTATCTGTCGGAAGGACACTTCGACTATCAGGTATGTTTGTGAAGCCAGTTCGTTGTGGGATAGAATTTTCTAACGATTCATTTTTTATATTTTCTTCCCTAGGTATCCAACACCAACCCGAACTTGGAGCGCAGTAAATTGATGCGCAAGAGTTTCCACGGCAGTGGAAAAACGCTTACAATCCCGAAAGTGCCACCACCGCCACCCGTACGGGTGGGTTCCTCATTAACCGCTCAACAACTTCAGCAGCAACAGTGTCAAACGCAGCAAATGTTGCAAGTACAAAAGCTTCCGCTTAACGGTGCCAATCTTCGCCACCTGGAGTTCCAGGAAAGTCATCCACCGGCATCACCGCTGGAGCCCTACCACAAGGCGAACGTCTCCAACCTATCTAACATGAGCTCAAACACCAGCATGAGCGAAGATTCCTGCCAAACGATCATTACAACCTGTGCCGTGGTTCATCAAGAACAGTCCCCCATGAAGCCGCAAGATCAGCAGCCCTATTCATCATCAGCTTCAGTCGATGAAGTTGACTCGATTGTCAAATACAATAGCACAAGTAACAATAGCAATAGCAATAGTCACAATGCACCAACAGCGGGCACCGGTAGCATGGAGTTGCCTCCCTATCCAAGTCCACCTTCAACCACGTGCCATTCGCGTCAGGCTAGCGAAGATTTCCCTCCGCCACCACCGGCGATCGACTTTGAACCACTTAACGAGCAGCTAAGTGAAATTCAAAGCCTCCAGCAGCAGCAACATCAGGGAAAGAGTACGCAGCCAATTCACCAACAGCACTTCCATGTTCAGAACACAACCAGCATACTAGCACAGCTGCAAGCCAAGCAGCACCAGTTGATGATGATGAATAAGCTGCGAGAACAGCAGCAACAACAACAACAACAACAACAACAGAACAACATCGCCAACAATCCTATCAGCGCTAGTGAGATCCTGAACGAGACTACCCGATCGGAGATCTGGCTCAAGGAACTTCAAGCTAAGCAGATTGCACTCAAGCAACAGCAACAGCAGCAAAATCAGCCACAATCACATCAGCAGCAACAACAGCAACATATTATGCAACCCAATAATGATCAGCGAAGTGTACGAGACCTGGCGTCCCGATTTGAGCAGATCAAGCTGGCACCCATGCAGCAACAACCACAGCCCCAACCGAGCACAGCTCCGTCGACCATTCGTCCGTATCCGAGCCAAGAGCTGCTGAACGGAGCAGTGAAACAGGTGAGTGGTCTTATTACAACTTGTGAGTGGCCTAAACTTAACGACGATTTTTTTCTACAGACACTGCCGCAGCCAGGACCGCAACTACCGAACGTTCGGACCGGAATGAGCGGTCTTCTGACGGATCAGAAGCAGAAGCAATCCCTTATGGCCATGCTGTCGGATGCTAGTTCTAGTGCCGCTGGTGTGGACGAGGTAGACTGCATAGCAGCTTACAAGATGCTTCCCAAGCCACGGTATGACATTGCCCAAGCGCAAATTCAGGAAGAGATTCGCGAGGTTGAAATGTTGAACCAGGTGGTGCAACAAACGTTGAATAACTCTACTGGTGGCAATACGAACACAACCAGCAAGAGAACTAAGAAGAAGAGCGTTTCGTTCTGCGATCAGGTTATCCTGGTTGCAACTGCTGATGACGGCGAAGAGGATGACTTCATCCCGAATCCGATACTGGAAAGGGTGCTGAGGACGGCTGGTACCGGTAGTAGCGATTCCGAGGAGAGGCAAGGACAAAACTCTCCACAACCTGTACTCTCAACTAGTATTACATATCACCCGATCAAAACACCGGCAGGCGGCCAGTACTCGCTGGCAGCGGACATGCACAAACAAAACATGGAGATTCAGCGGCAACTGCAACAACAACAGCAGCAGTACTACCAACCACAAACGCAGCCACAGACAAATGAAAGCTATCAGCAGTACTCAGCCATCCCTAGCAATGCGGCTGGCTTTAAAAATCAACAGTTCCAGCCGCAACCTCAAACTATGTACAACGAGGGCTCAATTCAGAAGTCGGCAATCTACCAACCTCCTCCGATGCCTCAGCAGCAATACCTGCAACAACAACAACAACAACAGGCGCAGCAGCAACTTCAGCAAAAGCCACGAGTGTTTGACGACAGTGGAAGTGAACATAGCTACGACATGCGAATGGCTCCACCCTCTGCCACTCCTAGCAGTTATGGAAACGTGCAGTCTCCGTACATGACCGTTCCATGTCCAATGGATCAAGGCTTCCAAACGGTATCAGCTTCACCCACCATAACCACCACCTCAACAGTTATGAACGGTGCACCGAACCCTGCGCTTCCGCTTGGCATCCGACAGATAATGCATCAACAGCTCGGCCAGCAAAATGGATCCGTTTTGAGACAGCAGCAGCAATCTCCTCTCATGATGTCCCAGCAGCAGCAACAACAACAACAACAACAGCTGCAATCACAGCCGTCCAACGTTTACCAGAAGCCGCCCATGCCGGTTAACTACCAACAACAACAACAACAACAACAGCAGCAGCAAAGCATGATGCCTTATAGCACTAACTCTAATCCTTATACCGCTTACAGTACGCAGTCACAACTTCAGCAACCATCCCAACAGCTTCCGTCCCCTTACCAAAGGGTACCTCTACCCCACTATCAAGACTCCCCGTACCATGATCTCCCTCTTCCTCAACAGCAGCAGCAGCAGCAGCAGCAGCAACAACAACAACCACAATCTCCCTCTCAACAACAGCTTTACCTCCAGTCCCAACAGCAAAAACCCTCCCAAAAGAAGGTGAGCTTCGAACCGGGCACCAAAGGTGGTTCCGATTGTCCACCCTCCCCTCAGCCAAACCAACCCACTCAACCTACTCCCTCTGACTCCCAACAGCAACAACAGCAACAACAACAACAACAACAGCAACAGCAGCAGCAGCAGCAAGTCGGACTTCCCGTGACCCGGGTAGCCATTGCCACCTACAACAGCAACGCAATCGTAAAAGCCTCCTCCAAGGCGGTCCAATGCAATCTCTGCCGGAAGAAGCACTGCATACTCCCGGCAATGTATTGCACCGATTGCGAGTTCTACATGAGTCGCTTCCAGGTCCCGGTGCGGAGGTGATCCGACCTCCCGCACCGAACCGATCTTCTTGATAGGCAATTTGAGTGCTGATCGGGAAGTCATGATCGCTTGATGAAGCCCCAGCAGCACTCAAATTACCCAGCAAGCTTATGTTGCACATAGTAGTGTGGTAGTGTGGTTTTAGGAAAAAAGTGCAAATTAGATTGTTAGTCTGAAACAAAAAGTGCCTTTCAGCGGGGTTCCTCTCCGTGTATGTTCCGACTGCTGTGAATCCAACCTTAGGTTTTTTTTTGGATAACTTTAGTAGTTTGTTTTTACAATATTTCGTTCGTGCCCGGTTTGAAACTGGTTGGCACCGGTAGAGATAGTAATAATAATAACTGCGCGGATACAAGTGGCTTCTTTTGAAAAGAAGCCGACCGCATTAGGAGTTCTGAATTAATAGGAAAACAATTTAAGGGTTGCTGTTTTTTTGGGAGAGATTTTCCGCTCCTGTTGAATGTGATATTTTCTTTGCTCGAGTTTATATCTAAATATTTAATACTGTTTTCTCTGTCGCTCAGAGTTTGATTTTAATCGTATGCTAGGATCTTAAATTCGTCCACTAGTGAAGTAAGGTTTACGACATAAGTGACTAACGAACAACCATTCCCGATACTGCCCAATAATGCATTTTATTCGTAGGAAGACAATTTAAGTTTTAGACCTGTAAAGTGAAATGACCTAAACTCCAACTTCGTCGACATTCCATTTTTACATATTTTACAGCTTAAGTTTTAAGACCTTTACAATAAATGAAGAAATATGACAATAACGATAAGACTTCTTGAACAAGAAATTAGTATTCTAATCGACAATAGGTAAGTATTACAATTTACAATAACAGCCGAGATTCGATGGTCAATCTCCTCCCGCACGATAGATTTTAATCAACCCTTCCCTTCATTCCTTTCTCGTGAAAATTTTGTATATTTCGTGCGTTTTTAGAATTATTATTATAAAAGTGTATATTTTTAATATTATCTGCATATGATTTATAACGTATATTTAAAACAACGATGAAAAAATAATGAAATAAATTTCTTCTCTATTTTCAGAATAATAAAAAAAATAATTCGTTTCATTTGATACATATTGAGAACCACCATTTTTGAATAAAAATTGTTTGTTTGCCCGAAATCTTTAATCGTGATTTTGGGGGTGTTTTGATGTTCAGGTCGTGTTTATTTTGTCGTCCAAATTTCAATCCCAATCAACCGAAATTAAATACAGTCCACAGAACATCAGTAGCACCAGCATATTCTGCTACTATTCAATCTATTCGGCCAAATAACAGTGCTGTTTACTGGGCAAGCCGAATATTCAGCATATTTCAAATTTAGTTGGTATATACAGTGCAGCTCCAGTATCATGTTTATGACAAAATGTATTTGTACTTCTAAACACAATTAAAAACTTATTGCAAACTTTTCTAGGATACTTCAAACACTTTTTTTGTCGGAATTGACATTATGGATAAAGAAAAATAATGTAATGGCTCTTTGGTTTTTGGCATTGGCGTTAATACAACCCTCCCTAGAGAATTGAAGAAATGTAAATAAGTGCTAGGGGAATTTACGTATTCTCGGCAACCTAAGCAGCGACCTTCTTTCTATAGCCTTTTTCTCTATGGAACGCACACATATGCAGTATTGGTTTGTTTACAATCTTTTGCTGCCAGCTGCTCTAACAATTTCAGTCGAAAGAATTGTCAAAAACTGTTTTGAAACGCTTTTACAAAGCTCCAATCTTCTCTAGTGAGAGCGAGTATTGTCGGCAACCAGTTTTTCTTCGGCAACCGTTCCATTTGAACTGCATGTAAATCTGCTGTTCTATTATCGGCAACTCGAAATCAGCTACAATTTGTAGTGCGTGTGTTTCATTTCAAGAAAACCCTGCTAGATTGCTTTTTCTCAGTGGTAAAAATATAGTCAAATTGAAGCTGAAAGCATAAAGAATCGTTTGCATGCATTCAGCGAAGTATTTTCGTAAGAAAATCCAATGAAAATAGTATTTCAATTTGGGTTGCCGAAAATAGTCTGTCATGCCGAAGCCGTCGTTTCCCCTATCTATATCTGAATGGCATCGATATTTTTCCAGATTCTCCAAAATAAACTCTGCTGCTATTTTAAATTTCTTAATCCTCCTTATTCTGTGAATCACGTGACTCTCTCTCACCGGTAAAGTGACAATCTCTATTTCATTTGCACGAAGAGTCACCTAACACGAGTTCTAGACTAACATTTGAAAAGGGCGTAGCTCCAAAATGGCCATATCGAGAAAATCGCTTCCGAACTTTAATGACCTAAAAATCAATCCTATTTCACGACTTTCCATTTTCTGGATGATTTTATAAGCTTGACATATAGTTAATAGTGTAATCTATCATCATGAATCACTAAACATTAAAAAAAAAGTTTTCTTTGTCGTGAAATTGAGAATAAAGCATCATACGCCCTGATAGTTTCTTACATGTTGTTACCCCCCGGATCTTGTATCCTTTGAACTGCCAACACTGGTAGCCGTGGAAATACACATAATACATAATTCCAAAAATACCCATATTTTCAAAATGGCGTCAAACATAGATTTCCGGTCCCTACACGTCACTACGATTCCAAAAATACCCATATTGTGGGGGTATTTACAGTATTTTCCAGTTTTTCATGAACCGGATACCGCCATCTTGGATTTCAAAATGGCGTCAGGCATGGATTTCCGGTTCCTACATATCACTCCGATTATTGTGGGTTATTTCACAGATTTTCCCAGATTCAAAAAATCGAAAAAAAAACTCGTTATTTGGAATTTACTTTGTAAAAAGAGAGACGTAAATTGAATGCTGCGTAAATAAAGACTTCGTAAACGGAGGTTTCAGTGTATATGTATTTAGTGAAATACTTCAAATTATATGCTTCGTATGCATACTAAGCTGGTTTGGAAAAATAAAAGTAAAATAATTATTTCATTAAGTATATTCAACGTTCGCTGAGCTGTATCAACTTTTCACTAAAATGCATATCATACGGTTCATGTCAACAAATTGAAATTAAATTTTGACAGATAAATATTTGTTTCAGGCCAAGGTTTTTCACTTTGCTAATGTCTTCTGTAATCAAGCGGCTTAAGGCCGATTTCTTGACCTCCGCTCAAGCCTTAATCCTGGTTTAACTAAATGGGTTCCGTAATGCACCGAAATCCGGACACTTAGTCCAAAAATTAAAGTGTCCGGATTTTTGGACTAAGATTATTACACTTACTGATATAGGAAAGTAGTAATATCATCATTCAGAATTTAATGTCACAAACAAACTTTTAAAATTACAGATATCAATAATCACTATTTTTCATCAGCTACACGGTAGCCGTCCCAAACGATCAAAAGGACACCAGAAAAAAAATAACGGCCCTCGTTCATTCAAAAAAGGCCACCAATTCAAAAACAGAACGAGTTAAGATAATAGAGTATAGATTAATTAAAAGAACTAAAGACTCAACATATTTGTTCCGTCCACTAGCGATCCTACGTCAAGCTTACGTTCGTGCCCCTAGGGTCTCTTCTATTTTTTAATCCGCTCCTCTCTTATACTAGACCCTCTCTAATAAAAAGTAACGTCATCATTTCAAACCGACATGCACCAGAAAATTATTATTTTTCCCTGGGTACTACGGAGTCATTGGATTTTATTTTGCAAACCAACGGAAAACTGCTTGAAAATTTTCCACTTTCATGCCGCGACCGACTTTGGTTTTTGAAATTGCACCTCCAATGTAGCCTTCAAGAAAATGGTATGTTAGATTTAAACATATCTAGATATAGCTGGCATTAGGCGTAACAGCTTTTGTAAACAATGACTTCTCTCGATGATTTTTACAGGGGATGGATATGGTTGTCATATCACTTAAGTTTGGTGCGTACCGAACATCTGCATCGTTGTCAGCGGTACCATGATATAACAATGTTGTTTTTATGTTGAGTACGTGTATTCAGCTATATGTCAAACCCCTGGATTTTTAGGAATTCAAGGCACGTCCACGCAAAACAAACAACAGGCTTACCCTACCTGATGGTGATGTTGATTTGCGTGGGCGAGCCTTGACTTTCAAGACATCATCGAAAGAAGTCATTGTTTACAAAAGCTGTTACGCCCTAATTCCAGCTCTATCTTGATATGCACTGACAAAAGTTTTCACTTAGTTTCTATTAAGAACGCACATAGTATTTTTCCAAAAACAAAAACAATGATTTTTACCTGAATATCACATAGCATTAGAAATTCTATATGAGAAATCATATAGATTTCATTGGACACATAACGTTCATGTGATTTAGTGGTGCAATTTCCAATTATGGGATCACATGAAAGTTATGTGAAATTCACATGGATATTTTCCACTGGTTATGTGATTTATTTTATGAGTGTACGAAGTGACATCCGATTGATGACTTTGACAAATGTCAAAAAAATTGAGTTGATGGGTCGATAGGTAGGGTCCGGGTGTGCGGGCTGCCTTGCTGGCATCGGTAGCATTGGTGCTCAGCACGGAAACAAGATCGACGGAAAACAAAAATCAAGGAAAAAAAATGTAAAAAAATACTCTTTTTCAAATGTATGGTGGCCCTGAAAAGGACCGTTTTGTCGCTAATGCTGAGCTATTAGGGTGTGTTTGTGCAAACTTCCACTACCTGTGTTCCTACCCTACCAGCTGTGTGTTATATTGTATCCCTATACATTATCAATATAGTAGTTCATCTGTCTCCGCCTTGGCAGGACGGTAAAAACCACTGTCTTTTATTTATACATCCGTAAACGTTCTGCCCGTGCGCGATCATAATGGTGCCGAGACCAGCCGTTCGATACCCGCGGGCAACGTTTTATAAAATTTCGATGTGATTGTCCTTTTCGTTGCAATTCCGGAGAAACACCTCTTAAGTGAACCCTACACGATTGCTTTTATTGACAATAATCGTATTGTCAATACATTCTATATTGAAGTCAATATATCAGTATTGACAATATTTCTGTATTCACATCATCAATATTATGATCAATAATTCCCCTTTGCGTCAATATATTGATACGTGTGGGGTTAGCTTTAGTGCATCAGCATCAACTCAGAGGATTCTGCTTCCCTCCCAGCTACGATGGTGTGGCCACCAAGGTAGCCATCTAGCAGAGCATGTTCGCTCTTGGCTCATCGTGAACCGCAGGATTCTTGACCGAGAAACATGCTCATTTCAACGACGAGTGCCCGTGCGCGATCAGGATGTTAAACACAAATGAGGCTGGTGAGCTGTATGGTGTTTGGAAAGAGGGTGACGCGCTTGGCATAGATGGCCGACAGCGACTCACGAAGAGCTACTGATTCCGATCAATAGCGGCGCGACTTTTTCCTCCTCCATGTGAGATGCAGCTCACAGCTTGCAGGTAGCCTTTCGTTGTGTACTGCAGAACAATGTTCAACGCCACGCGCCGAAAGCACTACTGCTGCTGCACATGATGCCGACTACACCACCACACACGGTGATTGGAACTGAATCCGATCAGCGTCTGAGGCTAGCTGCTAGCTGCTTGAGCCTTTCGTTGTGTACTGGAGAAAACCACACCACCAAACTTTTTAGTTGTAGATCTTACTTCGTCCAAATCAGTCCCCCAGGAATCATCATGAATATTTTCCCGAGAGAAAATATTCAGATAATCCCGAGCAACCTGATTCTCAATAGGACTAGTAAGACCCAAACTGAAATTATGAGA